AGAAAGCAATATGCCACATTTGTGTTTTTAACCCCTCCGGTCACATGGTTGACCTAGATCAGTCGCTCCTTGTGGCTGCATATTGCTAGTAATAAAACCTGATACTCAGAATTCAAAGTTGGATTTCTTTTGGACAGGTGTTGCTTTTGTGAAGCACTGTGAAGTTGAAATGTGTGTGTGTGGTGTGGTGTGTGTATGTGTGTGTGTGTGTGTGTTTTCTACATACCTATATCTGTACACATGTGTGTGTGTGGAAACCAGTGGCAGATATCTGGTATCTTCCTCCATGGCTTTCAACTTTATTTTTGGAGACAAGGTCTCCCACTAAACCTAGAGTTCATCTACTGGAGACTAACAGCCCAGATCTCCAGGGATCCTCCTGTCTCTTTCCCCGCCCCAACTCTAAGATTACAGGCATAGGCCACTGCTTTTTACATGGGCATCAGGGACCTGAACTCAGGTCTTCATGCTTGCAGGGCAAGTACTTTACTGTCTGAGTCATCTCCCAAGATTGAAGACTCCCAAGTAGAGTCATTGTAATTCAGAAGCTTGCATTTATTCTTGGATTAATGAAGGTTTTATCATATAGCTAGCTTGCTTTTAAATGCTCAAACTCTAGTGTTGCAGGCAACGTTCCCTGCTTTCTGATCCTCCCACTGGCTTTTGAATTCCTTATGTCTGCTTAATTCCTTAGCTTCGCCCTGTCTACTCCCTGCCTTGACTGTATTCCAGGTGCTGCCCTCCACACCCATGCCCAGTCAGACAGACAGCGCTGGCTCTTTACTCTGCACTTGTGAGAGGCTTTCCTTTTTCCAGTCACCACCTGTGACTATTTTGTTTCTCAAGGTGAGGACAAACTGACCCTGGGGACCTTAGGCCACCCAGGCTCACCACCAGCATGATCAACAACAAAAAAAATGTTAAACATATGCAGATCTCACATTTTTACATTAGATGGCTCTTTAGATGACCAGCTTGGTTTACCAGTTTAAATATGTATGGGTGTTAATCTCTCTATCCTTTACTTTGCAGGTCCCCTGTCTTTCCTCTGTGTGCTAGCTATAGTTCTGCGGTGTGATCTTGTGTCAGAAGAAATGTCTAGGAAAGTGTGCTTTGGGGCTCCACAGTCCTCAGGATGAGCCCGTTCGCACTCCCAGGGTCTCTTTCAGGTCTCTAAGAGTGGGTAAGAGTCTCCTATGTGTAAGTATGTCCTCTTTTCAACTGGGATTTACGGGGCTGGAGAGACGGCCCAGAGGTTAGCATTTGCTCTTGCAAAGGGCTTTGATTTACAGCACACACAAGCTGGGATGCTCGTGAGGTTTTCTATCAGAGATGTTCCTCACTTAGCTCCTGTTTTTTGTTCTGTTTTGCTTATTAGCTTCCAAGTTCTGGAGGTGAGATGGTTGGCATCTGTAAAAGCATCATCCCTCCAGCACATTTAGCATGCAGTCATCACCACCTGCTGCTGTTAACTAACTTCGGTATGGATGTCATGGCTTTTCAATCGATTGTTCCCTGCTTACCCTATTAACGTCTCAAGAGTAAGAAGTAACCATAGTCACACTCTGCTATTTACAAGAAAGTAAGAATTTGGGCTGTAGAGATGGCTGCCTGGTTAAGAACACGTTCATACTGCTCTCACAGGGGACCAGAGTCAGTTTCCCAGCACCCATGTAGGGTGGCTCACCACCACCTGTAACTCCAGCCCCAAGGCATCTAACACTCTCTTCTGGATCCCTCTGTCACCTGCATTCACAGGTGGGCGCTCTCCCCACCCCAGCTGTCACACACACGTGTGTGCATGCCTGTAATTAAAATGAATTTCAAAAGTAATAATAAAACTAAACAAGCACTGTGTGGGAAGGTCTGTGACAGGGTGGGGAATGGCCAGATGTGGTGGCACACACACCTGTAATCCCAGAGCCCAGGAGGAGAAGAAAACAAGATCAGGAGTTTAAGGGCAGCCTGGGTTGACCCTGTCTCTCTCCAAAAAACCAACAAATAAAAGAAGCTCAAGTGCTTGGTAACGTGGAAGAGACTACATTTTGGTTAGAACTAGAGAAGGCTTTCTGTAGCCAGGGATTTGAGTTGGTCTTACGTAAGTTTCCTCTGGAATTAAAACTTCCCATCCTTTAGGAAATCCCCTTAAGCAGTAAGGTACATAATTGAAAATAGTTTCAGGAAGTCCCTGAAATTGACCAGATTCACTAGGTCCATCCCTGCCAGAGTAAGCAATAATGTTGAGAGTCCTCCTCAGAGGAAGAATGCCAAGCTGCAAAGAGTATAAGACCAGACCGGTTGCCCGAAAGAAGCAGAAGCCAGCTGAGCTGCCTGGACAGGGTTTAGTCTGAGGCACCTGGAAAGGACACTCTCTAGCCTGGTAAGCTGTTTGCAGGCTGTGCATGTAATCCAAGTTCCCAGCTCTGTGACCGGCCACTCGTGCTGAGGCGGGCTTCAGTGATGCAGCCGTCTTCCGATTATTTCTGCTTCTGTAAGTAACCTCCGTTCATACTCCTGTAAGCATCCCCAGTACAGCCCACTGGTCACCAAGCTGGACTTCATGGTATGCGTACTTTGATCTGTCAAGGTTCCCTATCTGGGCTGAGTAGATGTGCATTGCATCTCGCTAGGAAAAGTTTTGTCACTTTACAGCTGGGTTTTGGTTGACAGGTCACAGCAGGTAACAGCACTTCAAGCCTTGGGAAGGCAAAAATAAGAAGAGAAGAAAGGGGGACATGCAGGTGTTGCATGTGTGGGCTGGAGTTAGGCTGAAGTTCTGAGAACAACCAACACCTAGTGTCTCTCTTCCCCTGTTCAGTTTGGAATAAACGGATTAGCACAACAAAAGAGCAGCAGATGGTACTCAGTGTCACCTTCATTATTGATAAAGGTAAAGCTGGAGGAGTCACCTTCAGATGAAAGGCCAGTGGCACTGAACAGCTCTGCCACGAGTGTCTGGCTTGTTCCAGTGTAATACTGGGTACTGTGAACTGCCATCCAGTGTCTGAGCATCTTGACCTGAACTTTTCAACTCTGAAACTTGCACAAGGCGAATTAATTATTTACAATCATTTATTTTCTCGCCTTCCCCCAACACTCAAAAAGCATCCTATCATAAGGTTATTCAACCCAATCACCTAAAGTGAACTGAAATTCTATTCCATGAACATTCACTGTGGTTCTTCATACTACATGGGAACTGGGATGTCTTGTCCTGCTTTAATTCGGCAGTTCTAAATGTTAAGATGAATGATACTCAATTTCTGGAGTTCTCTACCTACCTGAGCAGCTATCATGCTGGACAGACAGACAGCTTTACCTGGAATCAGGCTGCTGGGGTCGAGAGCTACTCTCTGGAGTCATTTAGAGTCTGGGGTTCAGGCAAGTGTGGTTGGGGGCTGTGGAGTCTGGAGGCCAGGAGTGGGGAAAGTCAGTCAGCTACCTTGAACATCTGGGTGTACTTGGAAGAAGTGGCATGTATAGTAGGGGAAATGGGGTATAAAGGTATAGGAAAATGTGGGCAGTGAGGAGAAAAGTCTTCTTGAGGCTACAGGTTCCTGAAGAAGGCTGAGAGAGAGCCTGAGTTTCCCAAGCCAAATCACTCCCAGCATTCCTGCAGACAAACTGCCAAGTCAGCACTTCCTGCTGTGCATGCCCTCGTGCAAGCATTTTGTCATGACAGCAGTAGATCTGTCATTCTGGGTACGGATTCCATTAAAACTAAGAAAGAAGGGTGCAAATATTCATAAAAACAGTCGCCAACTGCTCAACACTTTGTAGAATGCTCACTACAACCCTTCAAGGTCAACATTAGCATCCTTACCACTGTCCAGACAAGGGAAACGAGACTCAGCAGGGCAGTGGCCTTAATCAGCTCAGAACTTTTGGCCCCCTGCCTTTAGAAATGCACTCTTCCTGCAGTTTCCAGTAGACCAGGAGAGCAGAGGCATGCCTGCTCTGGTAGGAGATGGGTAGGGTGTGGGCGTTCGTGGTTATTGGTTGGGTCATCTCTTGGACTACATTGGAGTTTAAGTGTGAGTGTTATGTGAGCTGCAATATGTATGAGTTGGGGGAGGGGTAGATATTGGTTCTTGAGCCATGTGAGTAGTGAGTATGTGGATTGAAGACTTGCTGCTGGCAAACCAGAGGGCTTGACTTTTCTGTTCAATTGTAAGTGTATGAGAGAGAGAGAGAGAGAGAGAGAGAGAGAGAGAGAGAGAGAGAGAGAGAGAGAGAGAGAGAGAGAGAGAGAGAGAGAGAGAGAGAGAGAGAGAGAGAGAGAGAGAGAGAGAGAGAGAGAGAGAGAGAGAGAGAGAGAGAGAGAGAGAGAGAGAGAGAGAGAGAGAGAGAGAGAGAGAGAGAGAGAGAGAGAGAGAGAGAGAGAGAGAGAGAGAGAGAGAGAGAGAGAGAGAGAGAGAGAGAGAGAGAGAGAGAGAGAGAGAGAGAGAGAGAGAGAGAGAGAGAGAGACCCTTGGAGGTATGTTGGGGTGCTGGTGGGGGAGACATTAACCTCTGGGTCGTGAGTGAGTGAGTGAGTGAGTGAGTGAGTGAGTGAGTGAGTGAGTGGGTGGGTGGGTGGGTGAGTGAGTGAGTGAGTGAGTGAGAGAGACAGACCTAGGAGACCCGCCCCGCCCTCTGTTGCAGGTGGGCCGGCCCAGTGGTGGGGGCCCGCAGCGCTTGCAGCTCTTGGCTGGCCGCCGCGCCGGGCTAGCAGGGCTGGGCTGGGGCTGCGGGGCGGCGCCGGGACAGGAAGCGGAAAGCAGCAGAGAGCGGCGACCGCGGCGGGGCTGTGCCTCCACTGCAGCCCAGCGCAGGCCGCGGAGCTGGGGCGCTGCAGCGCGGGCGTGGAGCGCGGCTGGCCGTCGCCGGGGTGAGTCCAGGGAGAGGCGGGCGCGGCGCGGCGGCCGGGGACTGAGCTAAGGGGGAGGTCAGGCCCAACTGCCCTTGTCCTTGCTCCCCGGCACTCCGATCGGGGTTCGGGGCCTCGGGCTGGGAGCCCCCGGGCCCCTTTGGGTTGCGCTTCCCGGCACCCGGGTCCTTCCATCCCTGCCCCGGTTCTCTCCGTCCCATTCCACTGCTCCGAGTCCTGAGGCTGCCTGAACTACCTTGGACGCCCCTTTGCCTTGGCTGGCCTTTGGAGCGCGCCCCTGGGTGAGTGTGCCGGGACGATGGTTAAGAAATGACGGCGTGTCCGAGGCAGCGGGCGGCAAGATGAGCCGCGCAAGACAGGACGCGATCGGGGTCCACGCCAGGGCCCGGGGTCATCTGACCGGTCTTCGGGCACAGGGACCGAGCTGGCTTGTGTTTCACATTTCGTTTACAAAACCGCAGCCTGGGAGGCCTGGGGGGGCGCGGCCCGCTGCGCATCGCGGAGCGCAACAGGCAGGTAGGAGTTTACTTTCAAAAGCGCCGGGGCGGAGCAGAGGCGTGCAGCCAGTCCCAGCCGGAGGAGGAGTCCCTGTCCCGGAGAAGCGCGCCGTGCCCGGGCAGCACCGGTAGGACCTCATTTCATCCCGCAACCAGTGAACTGCCCTCAAATTACGCGCCCAGAGAAATGGAAGCAGGAGTGGGGTGGAGTCGCAACCTGGAGGCTCGGTGATGAGCAGGGAAGACTTGGAGCCGGGCAGTCTCAGTTTTCACTTCTCCTAACCGGGTATGATGCCCATACAGTGAAGGTGAGCTCCTTCTGAAGCTCATGGGGAGTTGCCAGGGCTATTTATCATGATGATTATGTGGTTGGCGCGTGCGTTTTGTTAAAACCCTTTTGAGACTATGGTCAGAATGCATTTGGGTTACAGGGTAATTTTAGTAAGCTGTGAAGACTCGTGTTTTCACTGACATATTTATACATTTTACAGGGTTTGCTGAAAAATATTGTAAGTTGTGTCGCCAATCAACAATGCTAATTAGCCTTCTCCTTCCAGTGGGTGTGTTGATTACACAGCTCCTAGGCTCTGTAAGTGAGATGGCAGAAACTGCCTGAACCCAGGGAGGCATAATTAGCCATTTTATGTAACCACTAATTAGAGTTTTTAGAACTGAATTAAATCAGTGTGATATAGTAGGGGCTTTGATGTGTGGGAGGAAACTGTTTTATTCTACATTTCAAAGAAATATCCAGGAGCATTTAGCATTTCCAAAGGTTGGTGACTCCCAGAATGATTAGTCAAAACACCCAGTGTGAAATCTGCAGGGTTGCAGTGCTGACTGTGTGACTTTGTGGCAACTTAATTTGTAAGTAAAGTGGGAGAATTGTGAGAGTGTCTTATTTTTGAGACTGCTTGCCAAGCCTCATTTTTATTGTCTTATTTATTGAGCAACAGGAAGGAACCATACAGGAAATTGAAGTTTCCTTACTGAGCAACAATTCCATGACACCCTCTGTTGAAGAATTAATGTGTTGAATGTAGCAAGTACTCCCTTGTTTATCCCCCTGGTGTATTTATTACCTAAAGGCACACCAGGCTTTGCATCTGCTGTAGGTTGGGTTGGATGAGACCCTATCGCACTGGTTAATAATCAGAGGGTCTCACCTGGATGGAGGCTGCTTGAGATCAATTTTCATTCTTCTTAAAGTCCCATCCTGTCCTTCCTTCCCCATCCCCCCCTCCCAACTTCCCTCTACTGAGCCTATGAGTAGCAGTTGAACTGCAGGATTCTTTGTGAGGTTAGATGTGGTTTGGAACAATTTGCTATTGTTGTCTTCTCTAAGTAAACAAACAATTCTGGTAATTGCTACATAGCTTTCAGTTTTCCTTGGCTCTCTGAAACCAGTCTCCTGAAGTTCAAGCCCCTAAGAGAGAGATAGAGAGGGGGGAGGGAGGGAGGGAGGGAGGGAGAGAGAGAGAGAGAGAGAGAGAGAGAGAGAGATTGAGAGAGAGAGAGAGATTGAGAGAGAGATTGAGAGAGAGATTGAGAAGCACTTGATGTCAGAGTAGAACTGCCATCATTTCTGTGGAGTGAAGTGACTGTACCCAGAGTCCCTGCTGTACACAGACATGGTTGTTCTGAGGCTTTCCATAGGAGGACAAGATTCAGTGGCTATGGCTGGACTCTGTTTCTGATAGCTGTGTAGGTCCTCTTAGAGTCAGAAGAAAAGCTGCCTACATCTTCTGCTGTTCTGTCTGTACCCATCCTCCACCCCCAACCCAGTCCCACTTACAGCACTGGACCTGGCGCCACGGAATATATGGTGTGCATCAGATCTGTTTCTGAAGCTTCCAAATCTACTAGGGGGCAAGCATTTGCTTGAAAAGAAATATCTATCATAGATACAGTAACTATTCACAGCTCTTCAGCAATCTGTATCCAGCCATCAGGGATGTTCCAGAGGTAATTAATGACTCAATCAATGGCAGTTAGTCTGGGGGCGTGAATTGAATTCTGGCAGCCAGGTAACATGAGACTAGCATTTCTTTTCTGGTGAACAGTGGCTCATAGCCGTACATTTGAAGAGTTCTGTTCCTGGAAGAGGCTCATTGATTTGTCACAGGTGCCTGAGCCGTGCAGAACCTCATGTCATAGACTTGGATATTGTTTTATGATTTACAGATGCAAGTTCAGCAAAGTGTCTTACAGGCTTTGTCACACCCCTCTGCACCATCCTTCTGAACCCGAGAGCCTCCAAGTGAACCCACATAGGCTACCCTCTGGATGTCTGTGCAACAGCTTTCTATCTTCCCAAACAGAGCCCCTTTAATTAATCTCTCTGGGTAGAGCTGTTGATGTTTTTATAACTTCCTCTTCATAAAGGCTGGCTTACATTTACCATGCTCATTATCATAACCTGTTATTTGCCTTATATGATTTTTTTACCCTGAGCACTGTCTTTCTTTCAAGTAGGAGTCATGTATTTTATAGGAGTAAATGTGACTTTAGGGGAGATTCTCCTTGAGGTCACTGACTTTCACCTTATTTTAGTTCAGGGTGGTAGGGAAAGGTCATTGCACACTGTAAGATACTGTCTTGGCAATGTTCTCCATTCCATGCGGTTTGGTGTATGTACTCCAGTCCAAACTGGAGCAGGATCCTCTTGGATAGTAGCTGAAACAGTGGTGATGGTTGAGGGATAGTTCCAAAATCTCCATTTTATCTACTCTCTGCAAGCATTATTCTATGGTGAAGGTGTGCCTCCATGTCCTGAGATAGGCACCTCTCAGGACAATTTCGTTCACTCATTTTTGGCAAATATTTAATTAGGTGCCTCTTGTTGCCAGCAGCTGGGGAGATGGTAAGGCATGGGTTCCTGCACTCCAGGAGCGAATGTATGACTTGGAAGAACTGTGGGGAGAATGCAGGTGGCAGGCTGGCCAGGTGTGACCAAAGAAGTGTGTTTAAACTGAGAGGAATTAGCCACAGTGGTGCATCCGAAGAGATTGAATTCTAGTAGATAAACTGGGCTCTGCTAAGGTCCCGAGACTGGGGAGAACGGGCCCCAGAGGAATTGGAACAGCTGGGCAAGACCATTGATGACCAGATGGAAGACTCTGCGTTCTAAAGTGCAGGGAACACCACAGGAGGATTTGCAGCAAGGGTGAGGTCAGCCTGGCTGCTACCCTGCCTGGACCAAACACAATACTGGTCCTGTCAGGGGCCAGTATGATAGACAGTTGCAGGTTCAAGGATTTCCTCTGTACACCCCTAACTGCCTCTATCCCATTCTGGCCATAGCAACAACCACTCGTTAGCTTGCTACCCAGGGAAACGGATTTCTTTTCCTTTATTGTCTTTGCTGATAAAGGTGTCCCTCTGGCCTTGCCATTCATTTTGTTAATTCCTTGTATGTACATCCTCACAGAGATAAGCATCAGGATGTGTGTCTTTATTAACTCAATTGGGAGCCCCTGCCTGAGGTCAAGCCCTTTTCTGGAAGGAGTTCACTCTGCCTTTTATTAGCTTACTTCCTGACTGCTCACTCAGATCTTAGGTGAGGCACGAGTTGGTAAACCATGGTGAAAGCAGAGTGACTTAGGAGGGGCCCGGCTCAGTGTGGGCTGGGTCAGGTGAGGAAACCTGAAGTTCTCTGTGTTAGCTCTCTGCTGCTGGGAGCTGGGAGAGGATGGGGAGGACCTGAGGGCAAGCGGGGCTTGGCGGTGGTGGGATGCGTGGATGAACGGGAGAGAGTGCTGCAGACAGCATAGGGTGGGTCTGTCCACTGGCTGGCATGGCAGAGGATGTTGGAAAGCCTAAGCCAGGACAGAAGACCACAGCTGTGTGCAAGAGCTGAATGGGCGGGGAAGGAGCATTTGGTTTATTTTTCTGCAAGCGTTCATTTGGGGGAGGGGACCATTGCTTCTGACTCCAAGGAGTTGATCCTCGGAGATGGAGAAGAATAGCGGGGTGAGCTTTGAGTGTTAAGGGGGAAGCTTGATAGGGGGTGGATGGAGGAAGGAGTGTTAGAGGAGAAGGAGCAGCGCAAGGGCCATCAAGCTAGAGGCTCAATGAGGGCGGGTAGTGTGCCCCTGTTGAAGCCATCTCTCTAGCATTGCTGAGCAGGGTCTGGGTCTGCTGGCTACTCATAAAGGAGGAAGGTAAATCAACGGGGTAGGATGGGCCTGGAGAAAGAGGGCAAGGATACGGCCTTTGCATTTGGCACAAGGCAGTCTCTGGCTAACTTAGAGTTTCTTCTGTGGAGGGAGAATAGAGGATTTAGTGGCTATGGCAGTGGCGCGGGGGGGGGGGGGGGTCTTATACAAGATTCCCTTCTTTGGAGAGAACCTGGGCAAGAGTAGTTGGTAGAGTTAGGAAAAGGCTTTTCTCAGAGGGCTGTTGGGAGCTGTGAGTTCCTTTGAGGGACGTGTCTGGAGTTGCCTTAATGGATGGTCCACATTTTAACGAGGACAAAGAATGATGACCTTCAGCAGAGTGAGTAGGGAAGGAAACTTGGGTTCTGTGTGATAAAGATTATACCTCGGGAGTCTTGATTAATCCTCCTAATAACCCTGGGAAGGGACTATTAGTGATGTCATTTTACTGGGGACTAGGGTGTGGGACAGAGAAGCACATGCCCTGAGGTGTAACAGCAAGGCAGTGCAAACAGAAAAGGTTGCTGTGTGCTGCTTTGGGGCCAAACCTTCCTCTGCTGTGCCCCTTGATAGCTGGTGAGAAATTGGAAGTTAGAGTAGAACGGAGAGCCAGGAGTTACAGGCTGCAGGCAGAAGAACAAGTGTTAGGACGAAGGGAGTTAATTATTAACCTAGAGAAGAATGAGCGGTTTTCTGATGAAGATGCCAAACCTTGGAATCTGCAGGACAACAGAGAGCTGGGCCAGCAGCTATCAAGGGAAGAGGATTGTTTCATGCTAAGTTCCCTTCTCTACCTCCCGAGGTTGCTTGCCTGTCAGCCAGCTGGCCAGTGAGAAAGGAACATAGAGCAGAAAGGAGACTGCAGAGTGCTGAAAGCTCATTGGCTGTCTGGTGAAAACCCTGGGAGACAGCAGGGGGAGAAAAGATGGGCCAGTTCAGCCCAGGAGCCAAGCTAATGTTTTGAGAGATGCCTGATTGGCTTCATGTTTAGTCTTTACAATCACTCCCTTTCTCCCAAGCAGGCTGCTTGACTTCCTTTTACTAGGTAAGAAACCCACAGCTCCAGGGCTAAACTGCCTTGTTCATCCAGTACACAACTGGCGAGAGAGCAGGCAGCCAGAGGGGCAGCTCCTTTCTGCCCACAGTGGGTGAGCCTTGGGTGGGATAGCCTAGAGGGAGGTGCTGGCCATGAAAGACAAGGAGATCGTGGCGTTTAGAAACCACTGAAGGGAGCACTTGGGGCCACCCACTCTTACTTAGCCAGCGCATCTGGTGCCCATGCTGGGTACTGTCACCACTGTCAGCTCATATAGTCATCAAAGCACTCCTGATGCTCACAATTTATAGATGGGACTTCAAAGAGGTTTCGTCATTTGACTGAGGTCCTGCAGCTAGGACGCCAGTCAAGTCTATGTCTGTTTATAGCTTCGCTCTGGGAGATGGTGACTGGTTCACTGATCCCTGATTGACAAGTGAGCAGACTGAGATTCAAGAAGGCAAGGAAGGGTCTGATTGCAGGTGGCTAAGCATGGGCTGGACTCCATGCCTCCCCAATTGGAAACCAGCCACCAGCAGGGCCAGGGAAAGCAGTAGGTTCTCTGTTGTCCACTCCTGAGCAGGGTCTCCTGCCTGCTTATTAACATGGGCGTGACATGGATAAGAGAATGGATGAGTCAGTGCCGTGAGCCAGGCATGGAAAAGGGGGGCAAGGAGTGACCTTGGGATTTGGCTCCATGCTCACTGTTTCCTACAGACATGTGCTGTGTATTTGTTCCCTACCTATCCCTTGGTTTGGGGCGACGTTTTCATCATTTTTAGCTTTTAATCACATTAGACAGCGCGGAAATATTTTTTTCTTGAAGAATTAGTACTCTGCGATCAATTCCTAGTGAAATTGCTAGTTGAGACTTCTAGGACAAGGCAGGTAACCCCTAGGCACAGGGTCTCTTTAGAAAGAACTTTTCCTTCCATCCTGGAAGTAACAGAATGCCACTTCTAGGCTCTGGGCCAGTATAACTGTGTGCAGATGTGACTTCCAGGCCCAGTTAATGCTCCCAGTTTGAAATTTTCCCCAGTCTTAGCTGTTGCTGGGGTCTGGGAGCTTGAACCTGCTCCTGCTTTGGGGCAGGATAGGGCCTTTGCAACTCTTTTGTTTTCTTCATTCTTATCTCACTGACTGTGTTTGCAGTTTTAACCTCCAGGACCCTGCTGGGTGGGAAACCCTACTGAGTGAGCCTAGACCAGGGAGGGGGTGCGGTAAGAAGCAGAATTTCAGATTCAACTTTCTAGAAGTGAAGGCTGAGCATGTGGAGACTCAGGAATGTGCTTGGAAGTGTTTCCAATTTATTTTTATTGCAGAGCAATATTTGAGGGAAGTGGGAAAGGACCTAGGACCTTGCAACTAATAAATCACCTTTTCTGATGTCCCCTTGTAGCAGTCCCTGCCCTTCCATTAGTTATTTTATCGTGTAATGGCTGTGTAGAATCATTGGCTACCTGCAATCCCATTCTGCATAATTGCCATTTTATGCAGATACATGATATTCTCTTTGACTGACTGGCTCATATCCCTATTTGCATTGCTTCTAGCTTTTTATTATCATAGGCAGCAGGGCAATCATGGTGGTTGTTGATTTTTAATTACTAAGATAAATTTCTAGGAGTTGGGATTCTCAAAGAGACTAAGAAAAACCTTGAATTGACTTTTGGAAATGATGGCCAAAGTGCTGAGTAAGTGATTTCCCTGGGTGTTGCTTTTATAACTGACAGTTGGGGGTGGGGTAGACATTTGTCTCTGGGGGCTGGTGTGAGAAGCAGTTCCTGCAGCCAAAGCCATGAGAAATACGTGTCTCAACACCCAGATTTTCCCCAAACCTTCTTCCTTCTGTTGTGATGAGGTCCAGTATGCTCTGCACTCCTCTTGCCTCTCAGACATCTGTGAGGATTGTTCCTTGGTGAGTGATGCATTGCATTTGGAGGTTTGAGTTTTATACTTACCCCATGTTCCATAACAGGGACCTCAGAGGAGAGCTGGCTGTTGTTGGTTTATGTTTTGGCCCTTGACGTTGAGAATTAATGTCTCCTTTTTCTCCCCTTCCCAGAGTCCTGTTGAAGGCTAGCATCCCTGAGTCCCACAAGGCTTTAGGAGCTAGTAGGTGAGACTGCCCGTGGGAAAACAGTGCCTGCTGCATCATCACCAGAGGAAGTTCGCCATTGCTATGGATACCGAATCCACATATTCTGGATACTCCTACTACTCAAGCCATTCAAAAAAATCTCACAGGCAAGGGTATGTAAGCAGTGAATCTGTGGGAACGCCCGCAGGTGGGTAGGGCTTTCTGTCAGAGAACTAGGTTTTCAACAGACTGCCTGAAGGGCCGAGGATGCTGGGGGATCAGGCCACTGGTGCGTGAGAAGCCAATCTGTAAGAGCGGTTGACATGCTCGGGGAGTCACTACACTGCCAATTTACATTTTATAGCCGCCATTAGAGTTGATGACCTTAATTTCTCACAATTGGTTTTAAATTAAAGTTTTCCCAGCAGTTGGAAATGTTTCTCATTTCTAAGTGCTTCTCATCGATGTGAAGTTCTCCCTGCTCTTTACCAATTCTGTAAATTGAAAGTTAAAAAGCAGGTGTTAATTTGTTGCTTCACCCAGATGTGCTGACTCACAGGCCATTAAGCATCTGCCCTGAGGCTATCTGGGGCATGGGGGGAGGGGTGCAGTCCACCCCCACACCCCAACCCCCACACACTCACACACCCACACATGGGTGCGATTGGCCCGGCATCTGATTTCTCTTTGACTGGTCTTCCAAGTGAGCTCAGGGTTTGAAAACACTGTCCTGAGTGGTGGGGCCAAACTCTCCCGCATTGTTGATTGAAAAAGGCCTGCCCTGGTGTTCAGAGGGCCATGTGCATGCTGACCTGCAGAGTACTTGCTGAGTGGAGGGATAAATGGATGAACGGACAGATAAATGATGAAATGGATGGTTTTGTATCGTACAGGTTAAGAATGCGGCAGGTGAGGTGTCTCCTCTGTGAAATGGGTGTAGGGATCTCCTCCTAGAGAGCTGAATGACGTGTGGAATATGTCTGGAGACGTTTGGAAAATGACTAGCTCAGCCCATGGTAGGAGGCCTCTCAATTGTAGCTGTGTTAATGCTGGTTACAGCCTTGGTGTCTCAGCACCCGTGTTCAAGGTGACATCTGACCCTAGTGCAGAGGCCCACGTGCGGCCACAGCTGTGTGCTTATGGAATGGTTACTGTCCAAGTAACTGTGCCCAGAGTGAGATTTCAGATTAGGATGTATGTTTCATGGGTTGGTCCTGTGTGGATGGCCGCACCTGGAAAGAAACCTGAAAGTGTCTTCCAAGCTGCCAGGAGGGGCATCTTCAGGGAAGGGGCTCTTGGCAGTGGTGACTGGTAGGTGAGGAATTATCTATCCGCTTAAACTTTATTTTTCTGTACAAATTTGTATTTTGTAATTTTTTAAAAAGTGAATGGAGGCCAGGTAAGGGAGCAGGGGCCTTTAATCCTAGCACTTAGTGGGCAGAGGCAAGCAGATCTCTGTGAGTTGGAGGCTAGCCTGGTCTACATAACAAGTAGCAAGTTCCGGGCCAGGCAGGGCTACATAGTGAGACCCTGTCTTTAAAAAATAAATAAAAATAATAGAATAAAAGTCTAAAGGAAAGCTTTTCAAAGATAATGCTCACGAGACTACATTTTTTTTAAGGAAACAGGCTTCTGGGTGGTTCTTTTTAAAAAAATCACTCTATTTTCTAAACATGCCTGTATTGTTTGTGTAGCTCCATGTGCTGGAGCCTAGCTCTCTTTTCCAATGAGGACAGAAAACACTCAATGTGGGTGCTTTGGAGGTGACATTCTACAGCCCAGATCCTGAGAAAGTCAGAAGTTCCCCCGACACACTTGTTTTTAGAAATAATCACAGATTCCGATCAGTTGGGCGAATTTAACAGATTTGTTATAAAATTCCAGAAACAGCTGTTTTCAAATATCTGCTTTTTGGACCTAACTGGAAAAAGCAGCTGAGTTCTTGGGGTGTCAGGCTTCCTTGTCCATATGATGTAAGTAGGAATTCGGGGTTTCTTTGGAGTTTGGGGGTGAGCAGGAGAGGATGGTTTGTGAAATTCTGAAGGGAGCCAGCCCTGGCTTCTTTTGTCTGCATGGCCACACTTCAAGGCCCCTTGCTGCTGCTTCCCTGGGCCTCCTGGGGTCCCAGAAATGGATTCTCTAGTGCTGTTATGGGAACTCTAAGAGACTATAACTTCCAATTAAGATGACATGCAGAACGCTTAGTTCTTCCTTGATCCCTTGTGGAAAGTACTTGGCAAGTATGAGCTGGAGCTGAGGCTTTTAATCAATTGATCAAGGAAGGTTGTGGAAGGCCTACTGGGAGGGCTGAGTGGAGCTCCACTTCCCAACGGTTGATCAGGGAATATTGCTCAGTGGAGCCCAGTGAGGGACTTGAGCTGCAGGGCTGTGTAAGTACACTTAGTGGATCTCTGAAGCCCCGCCCCTCTGTACTGTGTGAGGGGGGACCTCGGAGGTCATAGGGGCCGTGGGGCAAAGTCTGTAATCCACAGCCAGGGTGAGGAGAAATGTCCCACAGTGAAGGAGCCCTCTACAGGTGTGAGAGCCGGCTGCCTGGGGCATTTCTGTCCCCGGAGTGTCCCGTAAAGGCTTCTCTGCGTAATGATTTGTGGGGAGTTTAAATAGAGGAGCAGGGAAAGAAAGGGACTTAGCCTTTTGGTAGTTCTAGCGCAGCTCCAACTCCGAAAGGAATAATGAAGTGCCTGATGACACTGATGGTCTTGGAGGATTGGCCGCTGTCCAAACCCATTTTCTGACAAAGAGATCACTGATGCCTGCTGTCTCCAGAGTGTCCAGTTAGCTTGTTGAGGGAGTAGTACAGACTACAGCCAACCTCATTTAACCTGTGGGGCTCCCGATGCCAGCAGCTGCTGGGAACATTAAGCATCATTTTGAGAGGACCTGCAAGGTCCATCACGGTCACCGTCTCCCATGCTTTCGGCAGTCCTAGAATAGTGGGGACTGGGGGGCACGGTTTGCTTTACAGGTGGTGAAGCTGAGGACCGAGAGGAGCGTGGTTACCAGATATCGCCAGGCAAGCAGAACCACTCGGCAGGTTTCAGGCTTCTTGGTCCTTTGGAGGAGAGTGCCACCTTTGAAAGGAAAGTGTGACTAATGTGTTAAAATGCATTGTTCTAACAAACTGCCCAGGCAGTGGTGGCTCCTAAGGCAGGCTGAGCCAGTTTGTTCTCCACCCCCAACAGGCCCAGCAGTCTGCAGGCAGAGGACAGGGTAGAGGAGGAAAGGGAGGAGTAACCGGTGGGATGGCTTTCCCCATTTGGAAATGGACAAGCAACAGAACAGGAGGAAATAGCCTTCCCAGGAAATACTGACTAAGTAGGGACAGTGTGGGAATTGCAGGCGTCCTGGCTAGATTGAGGGGGTTACAGAGCTCCCCAGGACTCAGCCAGCAAACTGCCGAAACGATGATGCACTCACCCTCACCCATGGCTGCCTCTTGCATGCCACAGCTTGCTCTCCCCACCCTCCCGAGCATGTGTACCTACAGTGCACGCATACACGTATCTTTGCGCCGACAGACTTATCTTTACTCCTGTGGGCTGAGGAAGCAGGAAGACAGATTTAGAGATAAAGACACAGATTCCTGTGGGTGATGAGGCTGCCCAGCAAAAGAGCCCTCAGGCGATCCTGACCACTTCGGCTGTTAAATCTTGACTGTGTCTTAATGTTCCATTTATTGGTTTAGTAAATTGTTTACCCCCCCACACACACACACACTTATTCCTATACTCTTTGACTCATCTTCATCATTGGGGAACTCTGTTCCAGGATAATTGGCAGCCACAAATAGAAGTCTCTTAAAGTTACAGCATCCGTTTGCTGGCCTCAAATTCTGTCAGTCACCAAGGGTCACAGGTATATGCCATTATGTCTGGTTTACGTGATGCTGGAGATTGAACCCGGGGCTCCAGTAATGCTGGCCAAGGGGTCTACCGACTCAGCTACATCTCCATCCCCTGCCAGTGCCTCTAGGGCTGCAGAGATGAGTGTTTAGGAATACTCTGCAGTGAAATGACCCCTTCGAGGTCTGTAGTTCTGCAAACTAGAAAGCGCTGGATGGATGACCAACTGTGTTTTTCTTGGACATCACTCTTAAATCCTGGCTTCGCTTGGAGACCTGCCCAGAGCAGTAACTAGCAGCAGGGATTTCTGTAACTGCCATGTGGTGTGTCTCACCCCCTTCTATGGTGAGACCAATACAAGGAGCAGCTAGCTCACTTGGAGAAGTGCTGATAGGAGCCTCCCTAATTCTGGGTAGCCCTCAGTCGGGACTGTGTGCTATCCTTCATCCATGCAATACCAAAATAAAAAGGCTTGTTTTTATTTCTGAGTCTGTGTCTGGGTGGTGTCTTCAGGGGCTCACAGAATTCAGGAGCTGGAGTTACTGGTGTTTGTCAGCCTCTCTATGTGGGTGCTGGGAACAGAACTCAGATCCTCTGGGAGAGCCGTAAGTGCTCTTGCCTGGCTGAGCCATCTCTCCAGCCCCGCTATTTTAATAAAGACATACTGTGTGTTGTAGCCATACACAGCTGAGCACCCCTGATTTTGATCCCCTGCCATTCACAAGGCTTTTCACACATACACAGACTTCTAAGTAGGAATTTCCACAGCCTCTCCACCCCCCACCTCCGAAACATGGGGTGGGAAACCCTTCGGGAATAATCCTTGCATCACCTGCATCCTGATGGCTGGGGGCGCTGGTGAGAAAAGTGTAGATCCCTGTTGTCTCTCTTCCAGACAGATTCTCTGAGGGAAGGGCCACCAGTCTCTTGCACCCACCGTGTCTGCCCGAGGGGTGTGAGAAAAGGGACAGTGGTGTAGACTGGCAGGTGCCGGTGGATGGAGGCTCCTTGGGCCTCTAGACAGAAAGTTCTTACCTGGTGCACTTCCGGTGTTATGCAGGGAGTCGTTAGACAGAGTTGCCTAGACACTGGCTGTTCCCATGTGGGTGCTCTTGGGGCTTTTAAGAGCTCAGCTGGGTGGTCCAGGGAGAGCAGTGTGCTCTTTTTTAGTCCTGGTTGGTTTCCATCTGCCTTCAGCCCTCACGTTGTTCAGGAACCAGAAGCTAGCAGGAAGTGAAGGGGTTGGTTCCAGAAGAATCTCTGTTGGCACAGGATTTGACCTGTGAGATTTTTCAGTAGAGAGCCGGGTTAGATAAGCATGTGACTCGGCTGGTGGCCAGCAGGAGAGATGGCAGAACAGTAGGGGACTGACGGGCATAGGATCACCCGGGGGCTGTCTAGCTGGCCGCAGGAGGCTCCTGGAAGAATAGCAGCTCTAGACCTGGCCTGCAGTCATTCTGAAGACGGACCAAGCTAGGAAAGCAGGAATCTCCCATACTGCTTAGTGTTGCTCCCTCAGAATGCCTTTTGGAGTGCCGGAGTTGGACACACAACTAAGGCTACTGATGGTCACAGCCAGTAGTGACTACCAATGTTAGCTTCAGAGGCCCACTTCGTAACTCCAGCATCGTGACTGCATGAGGGTGTGAACGTGAGCACTAGGAAATGTTTACTCTCAAAATGGCCCGATTTTGGATATTTAGGAAGAGGAAGAGGGCCAGTAGGAAGAGGAAATAAAGTAAAAGGGGGGTAAACATGATCAAAGTACATTATCTTCATGTATGGAAAATGTCATAGTAAAATTCTATTGATTTATATAGTTATATATGCTATTTTTTCTTTAAAAATCTAATTGTTCCTCAAAAACAGCATAACATGGTGGCTTTGAATAGAAATAGTGGCAACAGATTTGGCCTTAGTTACTGTTCTGCTCCTTACCACAACTTCTGGAACACACTTAAACTCCCTGAGCCTCAGTTTTCTCATCTGTGAAATGGGGCAGTAGTACTGGCCTCAGAGCCATTTGTTAGAATTGAATGGAGCTAATCCAGCCGAGCACTCAGCCAAGTGCTCTGTGAATGGGCCAGGAAAGGGGAAATTGACATCATTGGCTATAGCTCTGGGTGAACAGCTAGATTCTCTGCGTATTTGGCTGCCTGGCTCAAACCACACACAGCTAACCAGAGTACAGCTATTGCTATTTAATGGGCTAAGAATGGAGCTATTGTAACTGAAAAACTGTCTACCATGGGAAACCCTTTGTTCCTTGAAGGAATTATACACTGCTTTTCCAAGGGAGGGATTCTCAAGATAGGAGTCTGGCAAGAGATCTGCCATTTAGTCGTTTTGTTTTAGGGTTTTGTTGTTGTTGCTAAGTAGTAGGTTAATGGGAGATGGATGCCCAGTGGGGAAGAGGGCGTGGCAGTGTGCTCGGGGCTCTTTCACTCCCCTTTCTCCAGGACAACATGCTTTCCTTCAGATAGCTATTCTTTGCCACTGGCTAATAATGACTACTGAATGTTGGGCGCTCACTCCACACCCCTGTACTGGGCACATGCACTTGTCTACGTAGCATCATCATGGCCCCACTCCATTTCCTACATAGGGAAACTGAGGTCAGGTACCCTGTGCGGGTCACACAGCTAATGTGCAGACAGAGAGCTGTCTGGCTCGACAGCCGTGGGAAAGACTTGTCCTATGGCACACGGGGACCAGGCCAAGGAAACACAAGGATGCTCGCCACTGCAGGGCTGCTTTTGAGCCACTTTCCTTTACCGCTTACTGACCAGCTTGTGACCTTTAGGGCTTGGCCACTGGCTGATTCCTTTTGTAGTTTTAAGACTCAGCAGCCGGGTGTCCTCCCACGGTCTCTGGAAGACCACCCACAAAGTTCCTCTGGAGTCAAAGTGTGGAAAGCCTGCTTTTCTTAGGTGGCCTGAAGACACATGCCCCCTCTGGGTCATTTGTTTCACCTTCTTTGTTTCTGTGGGTGTCTTTGAGCTCAGCCAAAACCTGCAGGAATGGCTTTTCATGTTGAATGTGTAAGAGTGAACAGCAAATGATTCTCTGTCCTGGTTTAGGATTTCCTTTCTTCTCTCCTTGTCCCAAAGTATAGGATGACATTGTGTCCGAGATTTTCTTTTTTTTTTTTTTTGCCAGATCAAAGTTTAGATAGGATGCAGTGTTCTTCCAGTAAAAAACATTCCTAATTAGTTTAGGCAAATGGTAACCAAATCAACTGAGCAATTATTACAGTAAAATGTGCCCCGGCCTTAGCATTTCTAAAATTAAGCTCTGAAAAATGGGATCTTTGTTGGTGGAGGAGTGGTAGTCTTTGATTTGGGGGTAAATTGGCAGTAGGGAGTTCTGAGATTATCTTGCTATTTGCAGGCTGTGGGGATGGGTAGGTATGGATGCCAAGTGTGCGGGTGGGGTATAGGCAAAGGCATAGAGTTTTCTTAAACTCAAAATAAAAATGTATGTTTTGGTGAGCTAGAGAGTAATTAACCTGGCATAGGTTTGATATCTGATTATTGGATCCCCTCCTTCCTCAGGGAAAGGACACGAGAAAGACACAAATCTCCGCGGAGTAAAGATGGCAGAGGGTCAGAAAAGTCTGTCACTATCCAGGCTCCCACTGGAGAACCCCTGCTGGCAAATGACTCTGCCCCCACAGGCGCAGAGGAAGTTCAGGTAAGGATCAAAGACTCCGCTGTGGGCAGGCTGCCACTCAGCCCCGCCTCCTCCGCAAGCGTTTTCCTAAGTCTTGTTGCCGTAAGTTCTCTTGGGTTTTTAATCTTTATTTTTCCAGCATCTTAATGAGTTTCTCTACTCCTCTGGTTTTCTTGCTGGTCTAAGGACAACATGTCCTACCATGGGTAGCAAGGGTCCTTCTAAAGTGTCATTGGTTGGCCTCCTTTAAATGACATTGGAAAGAAGCCAGCTTGGCTGATGACAGGTCAGAAAAGGGAAAAGTTATAGACAAGAGTCCCTGGAGACTCATTCCAAAATGGAATGGGACTGGAGAGGGCAGGAAACTCCCTCTCCAAAAGGCACCCAGGGAGTGCTTGACATTGGCATGAGGAGACAGTCCAGAAACTAGATATATGAAAGAAATCAAGGCCCTGACATTCAGATGGCGAGCTGAAAATCTGAATGAATGAGGTAGCTAGAGTCAAAGATCAGGGTCAGAAATATGTCCAGCAAACTTTAGGGTTAGTAGCTGTGGTCTTTGGGGTGCCTTAATGTCAAGGCTATAGGTCGGGACTGGGACAAACTGGAAAATGGGAGACAGCAGCCTCTGTGCTCCAGACCACTGCCTCTCAGGCCTTGCATGTTTCAGAAATATTAGCATTAGGACTTCATGTGAAGCCAATCAATTTAAAAATATCAATACTTTATTACTTTAAAAAAAATGTATGGGATCTTCGTTGAGTCCTTACTGCCTGGCAGCCTAGTTGATTTAAATAAACATCTGAGCTATACTCAGAAGTATGTTTGCACACCCCCACATCTGAAATGTTGCATGCCCAGCCTTGCCTCACATAAACAAAGCAATGTACGAATACACAGAGATAAGCATATACCCATGCACACCTGTAGGTACCTACAGATAGGCATTTATAATCAGATAGGAACACAGAAACTACGATCCCTTATAGGGTACAGATGCCACTGGGACTCATAACTGTGCTTTCCCACTGAATGTGGGGTTTGTTCAGTAGTGAGCAAATTCCTTTAATAGTATTATGCTGCCTGCTTGGTTCTAGGAGGACAGATATGTGTGTGTGTGTGTGTGTATGTATGTATGTATGTATTGAAGGATGATGGGTGTGTGGTTATGGTCAGTCTTAGGACTGGTCCATCCTTAAAAGCTTCATGGATCAGATTCTCCCTGGATGTGGATTCAGAGGTGCTAGAAACCTACCGTGAAGGCATTTCCTTCTTTGTGACCTGAGCTGTCTGGGAAGCCATTGATGCTTACAGCAGGATGGTGTGATGGGAAGGACTTTTGGAGGTTGTGTGTGTTTCAGTAGCCATGTTAACTTTGTTAAAATTGTAGTTCCCAAATCTAGGGGATTAGATTGGTGAAGGTCAGATGCATTTTTTTTCCTCTCTGAGGACCTCAAATTTGAGAGAAGCCTTTGTACAGCTATACTTTGTTTAGACAGAGATGTGCATAGGTTCTTAAAATGAACAGGGATTTAGTTAGCAACTCGTTGGCACGAAGTTGGATTTACAGCCGAGTCAGAACAGTGGTATTATGCAACAAAATGTTCACATGACATCAGTAATGGTTACCTCAGCAGGGATATCAGTCACATGCACAGAATCCAGCATCTTTCTTCCCTGAGACATTACTACAAAGCCAACTGTTTCCTACAGCCTGTGAACTCGCCTTATATTACAGCAAGTTGTATGTCTTTGTGGTTTGTCTTCTCTTGATGATGTATTGTCTTTTAAACTGACCTAAATTTACATGCAGAAATCAAATAGTTCTCAAGGGTATACTTTGATAGCTTCAACAACAGAAGAACCCACACCCTTCAGTACAGAAAATTCTCCCTGCTCTTCCTAGTTGATCCCAACCCCCATCCCCACCTCTCCAGGGCAACCACTATTTTGATTTCCATCTCAGTGGATTGGTTTTGCCTGTTTGAAGAGTTGAATATAATTAGAATCATATGAGTTTTTCCCCACTCAGCATGATGATTTTGATATTTATCCATGGTCTATGTGTTTCAACAGTTCATTCTTTATATTTTGCTGACTAGTATTCCATTGAATTGACCACAGTTTATTATCTGTTCTCCTGGTGGATGGGCATTTGAGGTACACACATTCTAACTATGATGGATTAAGCTCTTATGAATGTTTTTATAAGTCTTTTGTGGACATATTTCCATTAACTTTTGGTAAAAGCTAGGAGTCTAGTTGCTGGCCAGATAGTTAACTGTATATCTAAGTCACTATGAAAGTGTCAGGCCAGTTTTCTGAGAGTGTTAAACCATCTTAAACCTCCATGAACAGTGCCTGAGGGGCCTGGCTGCTTCTCATCATTGTCTATGGTCATTTCTCTCATGCTCCATGATACCTCTGACTCCTCAAATTGATGGCCTATGTGTTCCTAGATTGAAGTCTTTACTGCCCACCCCTAATATTGCTGATATGTCCATAAATGGTGATCTTTTAATGATAAAACATTTCTTAGCCAAGATCTTTTAAAAATTACATATAATTTCATTAAGTCTTTGAGAATTTCGTATGTACATACAATGTATTTGATCATATTCACTCCTCCCAATAGCTTCTCCCTGATCCAGTCTCAAGTTCTCACTGCCTCCCAACTGTAGTCCTCTTTTCTTTCTTTAAGAACTTACCTAGCTAGTGTATTGGTATGAGTCATCAACTGGAGCATTGTCAACCTACCGTGGGCCAAGCCTTTAGAGAAAACAAAACTCGCTCTCCCTCCTCCACAATCCATTAACTGTCAATAGCTCCTCAGCTAGGAGGGGGACTCTTGGTGAGCCCCTTCTCTGCGCTGTGTGGGAAGGTTGAATGGCTTGATCTTGTGCAGGTAACCACAACCCCTGTGAGTTCATGAGCACAGGGTCCTATCATGTTCCAGAGATACTGTTTTTCCTGTGTCCTCCCTGACGACAGACCCTTCCAGTCCCCTCTTCTGCAGTGGTCCCTAGCCTCCTACAGAAGGGGTGTGATACAGCTGCCCCATTTGTGACTGAGTCACTTTTTACTTTTACTCTCATTCTGAATTTCTGTGTTAATTGCCATCCACTACACAAAGCTTTCTGATGAGGTCTGAGAGTTACACTAACCTATAGGTAGAGAGATGGGAATGTACACGGCGGCTTCATCTTATGTCCACTTAGCAGAATAATGGAAGTAGTGCACCCTTGAGATCTGTGAACTCCTCTCTGTGGGTTCTTGGCCAGATTGACTTCAAATCCAATCAGAAAACAGATGGTTACCCTTATAACATTCATGCCACTGTTGTGGCCATGGGCATCTCTTCCTACACTGGTTATTATTATAACTCACAGCTGAGTGAAACTATTGATGACTCCCCCCTCGCAACTTCCCAGTACCCTGCATAGCATCTTCCTGTTCTGTGAAAACTAGTCAGCAGGGAGGAAGGCTCCTTGTCAGTGCCTAATTGATTTTTCCATTTCCTTTGACACCCAACACTGGGCTTTTTATTTGATAACCTGTGGCTTTTTGGATGAACTTTATGCCTTGTGTAGGATGATTGCAATTAAACTCTTTTATATGAGTATGCGTGTGTGAAGTTTATAAAATAGTAGTTATCCCTCCCCCACTTAAACTTCCCTTTCTACCTCTCCATCCCCCTTCCTATCACCTGTATCCTTCAGCCCCATGCCTGTAAGGTCTTTCTTCTTCCTCCCCACCAGTGGTCCCTCTCTAATTTCCCAGATTCTGTGGGTAGTCCAAATGAAGCACTCGCATCCAAAGATTGACTGCTAGGATCCACGTGTGAGTGAGAACATGGTTTGCTTGGTTATGAGTGATCCATGCTGCTGTTTCATCCATGCACTGAAACTCCATCTGTCATAAGCTAATGTCCCCATTCCACCACTTAGCTACTGTATACAACAATGTGTTTTTCCTAGTGAAATCGTAACACGTGGAGCTCATATGGCTTCTGGTGCCTCCCGGCTCTTCTGTGCCCTCAGATGGAGTCCTGGTTGCCAGTGAAACAGCGGAAGTATTTAACAGACTCTTGCTGAGTGAACAGGCCAAGTGTTCCCACTAGCAACTACCTAGACGCTTAAAAGAAGAAAGCAATAAATATAATAACCCTGATATTCTTATGTCCTTGCTGTTTATTTTGTGATGAAAACATGTTTTAGAAAGAATTTTTGAGCTGATCTGGCCATAGATTGAGTTTTGAATCTTCTTTACTTAGTCAATGAGAAATGGTGTCAAGGAGTTCTTAACCCTGCTGCTTACTGAGGTAAATCCTATAAATGTCATATAGGACTTTAGATAATGTGCGATTCAGCTGTGGGTGAGTTTGACCTCATGTGATATGAATTCCTTTTTTTTTTTATGCCCTCTGCTCTGCAGAGCTCCTGGGGGATCTAGATGGGCTTTGCAAGCCTAGAACTTAGCAGGGCAGGGGCTCACTGGTGCAGTAGGAGGGCCTCTCCTGTAGCAGATCCACTGCAGTTTACTCTAACTACTGTTAGTCAAGTCAGAGCAGAAAGGCCAGGCCTCCAAGCTTCTCAGAACATGAGGGATGACACCGTATCATAGTGACAAATTGCCCAAACAAATTCAGAGGTTGGATTGTGTTTTCTGTGTTCAAAGGGCAAATGTAGAATACATTTTGAAAAATTTGCTGAAAATTACTAAAGTTTAAAAACACCCAGGTAGGGCCAGGCGTTGGTGGTGCACGCCTTTAATCCCAGCACTCAAGAGGCAGAGGCACTGGGATCTCTGTGAGTCCGAGGCCAGCCTGGTCTACAGAGTGAGTTCCAGGACAGCCTCCAAAGCAATACAGAGAAACCCTGTCTCAAAAAAAACCAAAAAAATAAAAAATAAAAATGACCCTGTATTAAAAGCTGATACTATTTCCATTTTCAAGAAAGTTGGGTAGCTGAAATGTCTTTCTTTTCTGGTTGATTTTGTTGTGGCTTTTACAAATCACTCTCACTGTCTTCTCTGTCATCAGGATGACAACTGGGGAGAAACCACCACAGCCATCACAGGCACGTCGGAGCACAGTATATCCCAAGAGGACATTGCCAGGATTAGCAAGGACATGGAGGACAGTGTGGGGCTGGATTGCAAGCGCTATCTGGGCCTTACCGTCGCCGCGTTCCTTGGACTTCTTGTGTTCCTCACCCCCATTGCCTTCATTCTGCTGCCCCCGATCCTGTGGAGGGAGGACCTGAAACCCTGTGGCGCCATCTGTGAGGGACTTCTCATTTCTGTATCATTCAAACTGCTTATTCTGCTCATTGGAACCTGGGCACTCTTCTTCCGCAAGCAAAGAGCGGATGTGCCGCGGGTGTTTGTGTTCCGAGCCCTGTTGTTGGTCCTCATCTTCCTTTTCGTGGTTTCTTACTGGCTTTTTTATGGGGTCCGCATTTTGGACTCTAGGGACCAGAATTACAAGGACATTGTGCAATATGCGGTCTCCCTTGTGGATGCGCTGCTTTTCATCCACTACCTTGCCATCGTTCTGCTGGAGCTGCGGCAGCTGCAACCTATGTTCACGCTGCAGGTGGTCCGCTCCACCGATGGCGAGTCCCGGTTCTACAGCCTAGGACACCTGAGGTAAGGGGCTCGCACACTGAACAAGCGGAAAGGAGACTCTAGAAGACTTCCGATTCTCAGCCAGTGGGGCTGAGGTGCAGTCCTAGATGCAGATGCTACGCTCGGGGCCTGACTCTCTGGCTCTAGTAAGGGCCGTGTGAGGTCAAGGGTGTTCATATTTCACAGTGGGGCTCTCGACTGTGTTCAGGGTTGTTAGACTCATTTCTACCTCTCTGGCAGTTCCCAAAGTAGTGCAGAAAAGAGGCATAGTGACGGCTGCCTCCACTGACTGAGGACTTGGTTTACGGATGATGGATAAGGTGACTGACTAGTGATTCCATTTAGTCCAAAATGATGCATCAGGTACTTGCTGTAGCCAAGTTTTGGAATCACCCTGGCTGTTCACTGGCAGATGAATGGATTAAAAAAATGTGCTGTGTGCTGTGTGTGTGTGTGTGTGTGTGTGTAATAGTAGTGATAGCAGTAGAGTTTTATTTAGTTATAAAGAAGAGTGAAATCATGTCATTATCAGGAAAATGGAGAGAATTAGAGATGAATGTATTAAGCAAAGCAAACTAGACCTAAAGATAATCACATTTTCTGTCATATAGAACGTAGGTTTTATAGATGTATATATATACACACACATAGATGCACACACCATGCCCAGCCTTATGTGTATTCCTTCCAATATTATGGGGTTGGGCTGAATTAATGATCCAATTATGACAGCTCTCCTTCTATATAGCAGCTTCTGTTTCCATCTGTTTCCTTCCATAAATTCTGAGATCCCTGAGAATACAAGCCGTGTCTTATTCCTTCTGACACCCATGGTGCCCAGCATGGAGCCTGGCACACGCTTGGCAGTGCCATGGTCCCTGGGTGAGTGATCCACTGTGGTGGTTTGGATGAGAACGGGCCCCATAAAGGATCATATGTTGGAATGCTTGGTTCCCAGCTGGTGAGACTGTTTGGGAAGGATTAGGAGGTGTGGCTTTGTTGGAGGAGTGTGTCACTGAGCGTGGGCTTGGAGGTTTCAAAGCCCACTTTTCCAATTCTCTCTGTCTTCTCTCTGCCTCTGGCCGGGGATGATATGAGCTCTCAGCTGCATGTTCCCTGCCATGATAGTCATGGGCTCTCTCCATCTGGAACTGTGAGACCCCAAATTAAATGTTTTCTTTTATAAATTACCTTGGCCATGGTGTCTTTTCCCAGCAGTAGAAAAATAACTAAATTACCCACCTGGATGTCTGGTTTTATAGATTCACCATCCTAAGCAGCAAATGCTGATGTGTATCACATGGCAGATCAGCTTAGTGGCTTCCAGAAGAAATGGCTTCATCATTGCTTTGGCTGTCCAGAGAGGTGGCCCAACCCCAGTGTGGAGTCAGAGCCCACTGCCCAGTCACTGTCATGTAGCATGTACCTGTGTCCATGTCTCTGGCTCAGCTCATACTGCCCGAGGACTGGCTGGTTTAGTGTTCAAGGCTTTGTTCTCAGGGGAGTTTCTGCATGTTGTGCAGCATATGTTGGTGTTTCAAATCCTCCACAGATGCAAGGAAAGCTCTGGAAGCAAGTAAGTCACTGGGGCATTGGAACCTTAGAGAACTTGCTTCTCACTCTTTATACTGGAGAGGGACCCCCATAATGATCCCTTACAGAGCCTAAGCCCAGAGTTTCCTGGGGCTCCCAGGCACTTGGAGAGAGACTGGCATATGACTTGGAAGTGGGCAGTTGTTGTATCGGGACTGGGGCGCAGGAGGACAGGGAATCTCAGACAGTGGCATCTATGAAGCCTGTTGGGAAACAGTCTGACTCTGAGGCAATTTTTGCTGAAGTCAAAACTATGCAGAGAAACCTGTGGTCCTGGAGCAGATGAGCAGCATTTGGTATGTGGCAGCCATAGACTGTGAGTGAGGCCGGATACAGCTTTGAGTACTGCAATGCCACTTGCACAGGGAAGTCTAGGCTGATGGGACAGATGGCTCCTCCTGGGCTCCCACCCTGCTCTAAAACACGTTGACCTCGCCTGCACACGAGATCTGGGTGTGAATGGGAGGGGCCAACTCATCAGCCTCTAGAAAGTAGAAAAACCCAGAACAAAAATCTGACAGCAGCATTGGTATCTCACCGCTTAACTATGTGGGTTGGGGCAGAAATGCGGAGGGCGAGGGGATGAGGCGGGGAGCCAACTGCTCTGTGGCTTCTAGTTTGCTGTAAAAACAGTCTCCTCGGTCCTCCAGGAAATCAGCAGGTGGCATATATCTAACAGACTTAGAGGGGAGCATTTGAGTGGAATTTCTTCCCTTTGGTTCCTCACTCTCCTTTTGTCAGGCTCCTATGTCCCTTACTCAGTGATTCTGAGTGCTGAGGTAGAAGGGAAGGTGCCCTGTCCCTCCTCACAGATAGAGCCCATCGGGAGGGCTAGGGGTCCTGTGACAAGGCTCAGAGAACTGAAGCAGCTTGGCACCTCCCCCTGGCACTGTGCTGGTCGCATCACCTGCTGATCCACAGGCTAGATCTGGTCCAAACCCAGCAGAGGCTGGAAGAATCGCTGGGCCAGAAATATAACTTCTAAACCCTTTTGTGAATTTTCAAGGCAGGAGGGACTGGGGGGGCAGGATGGACAAAGCAGGCCCCAGACATAGAATAGCAGGTCTTCACCAGGCCCAGCCAGAACCCCAGGCCCTCCCACTTTCCCTCTATGCAAAGGTTTTGCAGCCGCAGAGTGACCTATCGCACTTCGCTGCAGAGCGATGGGGAGGTCTTTCTTCCCGTGCTCAAAGCTGGTTTTCCTGAATGGACTGAGCTATTTTTGAGAGTGTTCAAAAGAATGCCTGTTCCCCAGGTTCATAAAGCAAATGGGCTTCTTGTTAGCACTCGGTAAAAGGCCCTTGCTGTGGCTTCCCTTGTGGGCAGGGATCATTTGGGGTTTATTTGAAAACCTTCCAAAATGGGAGAGACTATTGTTGCAGGATGTGAAATCCCATAAATAGATGTAAGACGTAACCTTTAACTAATGCCTTAGGAGATACAAGGGCTTTTCATGTTTGGACTTAATTTACCTCACCTCTGGGGGTCAGAGCAGGTGGGACGGTGGCGCACATCTTTCCAGCTGAGGACAAGTAAAGGGACCTGCTCAAGGTCACCAGCAGGCAGCAGCTTACGGTTCATTGCCCAGCTATGTACTCTATAGTACCTGAGGGGTGTGTGTGGGGGGGTCCATATACACCACTTGTCACTCTATAGCACCTGAGGGGTGTGTGTGGGGGTGTCCATATACACCACTTGTCACTCTATAGCACCTGAGGGGTGTGTGTGTGTGGGGGGGTGTCCATATACACCACTTGTCACTCTATAGCACCTGAGGGGTGTGTGTGTGGGGGTGTCCATATACACCACTTGTCACTCTATAGCACCTGAGGGGTGTGTGTGTGTGGGGGGGTGTCCATATACACCACTTGTCACTCTATAGCACCTGAGGGGTGTGTGTGTGGGGGGGGTGTCCATATACACCACTTGTCACTTTTGTAGCCTAATTCTCACAGCCATTTGCTTAATTTTCTTTCACTTTACTAGAAATGTAATCTTTTAAGGTGACTATGTGAGGGGGGGAAAACACAGAAGAATATGGAAAACAAGTTTTAAAATGACATTTAATAACCACGGTATCTTCTGGTGCTTTGAAATCTTTAAAGCAAAACTCAGTAAATATTGGAGCAGCTACTTAGTGGGCTGTCAGCAGGTGCCAGGCGCCTTCTCAGCTCTGAATGCAAAACTCAGTCTTTAGGACAATCTTGCAGGGTTGGCACTGCCTTCTTCACTGGTAGACGAGGAAACGGAGGCATGGAGGCATGTGTCGTTGTGAGAGACAGGATTTGAGCTATGATGGTGTGGTTTCAGAATGTTCTTAACCGCCCACGGTACTGACCCAGAATGGAAGTTTTATGTTCATGTTCGCATTCCTGATGTAAGAGCCCACGAGTGACTTGCAAACGAGCTTTTGTGGACTTGGTGAGTGCCTGGCAGGCACTCCTGATGCCTTGTGTGTTGTAGTCCTCTGGCTCTGTCGTATCCCTCTGGCTCTTCCTTTAGAGCTGAGTGGACAGGATGCCACATCAGGCTGGCTTCTTCCCTCTGGTCCCTTTGCTCCTCCAGTCCTTTAATTCACCAGGTGACAAAGGCTGGGCCTTGTGGCTGCAGCAATGGATTTCAGGCTCTGCTTGGACCCCCACCCTTTTTTTTTTTTTTTTTTTTTAGCCTTCTCTACTTTACCTGCTTCAAAGATGTCTTTGCCCTAGCGCTGTGTAATAGCTGGCCTAAAACAGCCATCGTTTTATATCTAACGGTTCTGCAGCATGGCTTGGGCTCAGCTAAGTAGTTCTTCTGTGGGTCTAACCTGGATCCCTGTGTAATTATGCACACATAGGGCCAGTGTGGCTTTGCCTTGTCCGTTTCTGCATACTTTCTGCATGTCCTGAGGTACTCTCCATCCCCACATGGAGTCTTTATTGCTCCTGCATTGGTGTCTAGATGTCGCTGGCAGCTCAAGGCTTCAAAAGATACCCAAGTAGAAGTTCTCAGGTGCTGGAGAGCTGAGGACTAAAGCTAGCCCAACACCACTTCTGATATGTTCTTCCTTGGTTAAACCAAGCCCAGATGTAAAGAGTGTATGTCGGCTCAGTTTGAGCGTGTAGTCGGTCGTGGTGGGAAAGTCATGGCTGCTGGAGCTTGAGGTGAGCGCTCACATGGCTGGTCTTGTCCTCTAGGTGGCTTATCCACTCTCTTCCAGGCCTGAGTGGATGACCTTGCTTTCCCTGTTAATTCTATGCTTTTCTGGTTAAAACAAGAAAGGGAGAGCCGGGCATCCTGGGACGTCTAATGCCCCTGACTGACTCCAGTAGTATCCAAGCTGCCCTTCAGACTGCACATCAGGCTCTCCTGTGAGGCTGGCCTCCCCTCCCACACTGGGGACCAGCACCAATGGTCTTGGGACGCTGCTGAGGACCCAGAGCCACTGG